GAGGTCAGGAGCTGGGGTGGAAACCATAGACAGGGTGGCTGAGGACACCAAGAGATGAGCAGCCACCCTCCCTTATGTCCACTACACTCTACACTCACATCTTGTAAATATTCTCTAAGTGACTCATATCTGTTGATGGTAAGTGCTTAGATTTTTTCAGAATAGGCTCAACAATAACAATAATAACTGTTATTTGTGCAGTTTTACAATTTCGAAAAACTCGGTATGTGCTATTATAAATAGCACACTATTATGAATAATAAGCCATCATTTGTTGAATACTCACTTTCTGATGGTAAATTACCACTTAGTGCGCAAATAAAGTGCTAGGCTTGTGCTAAACACTTTGTATAGATTATCTCTAATTGTCACAACAAACTAACTGATTTGTATTATCAAGTTTGTCAGATCATTTGTGGAATAAGACAGGATGCAAATAAAGTAAAATAATAAATACAAAACCAAAGTGATATCTTACATATGGACTCATTTGGCCTTCCTAAGACGCTGATGAAATTATAATTATTCACAGTACACAGACAAAGATGCCAAGGCCCGGAGAGACAGAGCGTCTGCTGCATATCTAATAAATGGTAGAATCCTCTTCTCCTAACTTTCTGTCCCATGCTCCTTACAACAGTAGGCCAATGGAGCTTGAGGGAATCTATTGGTAACGATATTTCTAGAACTTTGCTTATCTTAGATAAATTCAGTTTTAGTTTATAGGATCAGCGGTAATTACGGGAGTAAATCCTTCCTGAATTGGGTTTATATTTTGTTCACTTATTTTGTTTGACAGAGAAGAGGGGGAAACGAATGAATTAGAGTCCAGTCTAAACTGCCTTAATTAAGAGACTTGATTTCTCTCGTACCTAAGAGTCTGGAGCAAGCAGGTCAGGAAAGGCAGGGCAGGGCCACCATCTTTCACATGTGGCTTCTGGTCATCACCATTTCCCAGCCAGTGGGAAGGAGGAAGAGGGAAGTTTAGGGAAAGTAGCTTAGGCTTTCAGACCCAGAATTTGTCAAGTCTCACTTCAGCTTACCTCCTATTGGCCAAAATTTAGCCACATGGCCAGACCTACTGCAAGGGAAGGTGGGCATCATCCTCCAACTGAGTGGACAAGAGCCCACCTAAACCGGGGGGTGCTGTTACTGAAAGGGGGTAAGGGAAAGTAGAAACCTGGGGGAAATTAGCTGTTTCTGACACAAGCAGTATCTTTACAGGTTCTTTCTTTAAGCAATCAGAGTTTGGAAAAATAGTAACCCGTAATCAGGCAGATCTAGGTTTTCTGGGGCCTGAAGGTTATACAATCTGGGAGGAAGAGTTGTATGAGGAACTTTTTCAAGAAAAATAACACAAAAATATCTAACTTTTGGAAATGTTATGAAAACATATGATCCTAGGAACACATTGCTGGTCTGGGGTCTGTACAAGTGAGAGGCCTAGAAGCTTAAGCCTCATTACCTTCAGGATAAACCAGTTTATGCCTGTAACAGCTGTATTTCTCTAATTCTTTATTCATGCAAATTTATGAACACACAAAAGCTGTGACTCTCTCTCTGAAATGAAAAGCTGAGTCAATGACAGAGACAGTCAGTGTGGTTTTCATAATAGCTGGTTTGTCAGTCTGAAGCCCGGCAGCCCAGCTGGTGGTTGAGAAGCCTTTACTAAGCTGTGCTGACCAGTTAGTCTGTGTTTGCCATAAGTAAACATGGCTGAAACAATGACTCATAAAAAGCAAATGCTAATGTTTGTTTGTTTGTTTTGTTTTGTTTAAGCTGAACTGCAAGAGCTGGACCCCATTTTTGACCCTGCTGACCAGCACTGTGGCCCAGACAGGAGGGAGCAAGTATCCTCCGCCGGCCTCAGGTCCCAGATCCATAAAGCAAGGGGCAGAGCTGGGTCTTGCTCAGGTTTCCTACACTGGAGGGAAGATTCTGGTGGAATCTTAGTGAAACATGCTCTTACATGCTTCACTTTGTGGACCTGAGCCCAAAGAAAAATGATCTGTCACTAAAATGGTTGCTTAACCATTTGCCTGGGGCAAATCACAAAGTAATGCGAACACAATTTTACTAAAACTACACCTTGAATGGAAACGAGAAAGCTGGTTGTAGGGGTCCACCCCTCCTGGAATGCCTGCTTCTCCATTAGATATTTCCAAATGTGCACAGTTCTCCTCAGCACAGCATAAATGCTCATTCATTCATTCATTCATTCCAGGAATATTTATTTTCTGTTTGCACTATGCAGTATGGAAATTAATAAAGGAAACTTTAACTTAAGTGGACGGGGTCACAGCCTATCATACATTGTCAATCACACCAAACAGGAAAAGATAGATGCTTCCTCTTTGACAGGAAGTAAAACTACTTCACTACTGAAGGAAGACTTCTCTCCCCACCCAGCAACAGCCCAGCCAATCAGAAACTCTGCAGCTCAGCCAATGAGAAGCTATTGCAGCCCTGAACTGCTGCTTTCCCTCAATGTGTTTTTGTTTAGAACAGCCCCTCCCTGCTGCCCCTTTTTCTCTATAAAGTCAGCTCACCCTCCTTTCTTTTCTGGATTTGGCTATGGTTTGCCATAGCACACATGTCCTTAATTGCAATTCTTTTGGCTATTCCTGAATAAACTCATTTTGAGATAGAATAACAGGGAAATTTGTTTTTTAAGTTGATGACAGGTAGGCCTGAGGATGCAGGGCTGGATGTGGGAAGGGCAAGGACATCAGGTGTACACACACACACACACACACACACACACAAAATACAGGGTGACAAGGGCTGTGCCAGAGTTATGCTATTAGTCACCATGAAGACTATTTCTCTCCTTGGCTCACCAGGCTGGAACAACCTCTCCTTTTTCAGAGCACTGGGTGCACATGACACCAGTCACATCCCCCTGCGTGGCACTGGGCATCAGCCTTATCCTTCTCACTGTAATGCGAACTGTGGAGGATGACAGGACGGAATATGAGCAGGTGTGACTGTGGAACGGATGCTGATATTTGTTAAGCACATATTTTAAGTCAGGTAGTTGACATAGTCTATTTTATTTAAATCTTATTTTTAAAAACTCAGTGAGGAAGATAATATCCCTATTTTGCAGATAAGAAAACTGACGCTAAAGAAAGCAAGCTTAGGGAGTTTGTCCAGGCTCACATACCGGTAACGGTGGAGTTAGGATTTGAGCCTAGCTGTCTGACTGCAAAGCCAACATACTTTCTAGATATCAGACCTACTCATTTTTCTCTTACCTCACAGTCCATAGGACAATTGATTACTATTTGTTAACAAGAGCATCTTTCTGCTGAAACGTCAGTCTCACTGGGCCTTTCTTCTTGGGCATGTTTAGATGAATAACAAGGAAACCTACAGCAGCCTGGTTTCCCCTGGCGTGGACATCCATCAGTTCAGGATGGACATGTAGAACCCCAACTACCCTAGCCACACTCACTAAATAATGATCACTTTGTAACAACTTTGACCTCAGCCACATTTAAAAACATTTTGGCAATTAAACACTCCAGAATATTATGTCAATATATTGTCAATATCAAGCCTGCTGGTAAACAAATGCTCGGCACTTCCAGTTCTTAAGAAAAAGCAAACCAAAGAAAAAAGAAAAAACCAAGGCCATGATTATTGGAAGTGTTTTTTCCTCACATAAACTGATTTCTGTGTTGACTGGCAGCTCTGTGATTTAGTTTGGCTAGTTACAGTCATACCAAAAGAAAATTTTCTATTTACCAAATCCTATTATATATCTTATTACTGGGGTATGGGAAAATATTACCTAGTATTTCCTATTTAGTGTTCGTGGAAGAGAATCATTTATCTTCCATTTTAAGCAAAAGTAACTAGATATGTTTTTTTAGCTAGTATTAATATTCCAGCCACTAAGTTCCATGTGCTGTTATGGAAATAATATATAATAGATCATTGAGAATAAAAAAATGCAGCCATAACCCACGTGATATATACTGTTTTCAGCACTGATGTGAGACCAGCGCAACTCCGTGCTGATTTCGGATTTTGTGTGTATGCTCTGATGCTCTGTCTAAACTCTTATCTCAGCCAACTTTGCACCAAATATTTGAAATAACTTATTGTAATAGTCCAACTATTAGTGGAATCCAACTCATTTAAAAAAATGAAAATCTTTTGCACTAAGAGAAGATTCAAGACCCTTCATATGATACAACAGAAAACTAACACCGACTAATAGATGGAAATTGTTCTCAAAAAATAATAATAGATATGTGGCTATGCGGGCCACTACTAGCAGGCCTGCAATAGCAGAGGGACTTGAAGCAGCCAGCTGGGAAGACAGAACAGCTACTCCCACAGTCATCTGGGCAAAAAACAGATAGTTATTTCCTATTAGTTTATTTCAATGTAAATAGAACCTTTTAACTCCAACTGTAATATACTTGAAGCTTTGCCAGATTTCATAAAGAGCAGAATCACCCCATTTTTGTTTTTTTCAGGCATGGACATTTTTATTTACCTTCTTTAATGAACTCAAGAATCACGGAGTTTGTGTAGCTCTGTAAAACAACTTTACAGTTGAAGACACTGAGGCAGACGGATGCAAAGTAGGCACGCCAAGTTCATAACCTTCTGGTAAGGCCAAGATGAGAAGCCAGTTTTCCAAATCAGTTTTCTCAGTCTCAACAGTATAGACATTTGAGACCAGATAATTCTTTGCATAGGGGGCTTTGCTGTGTCCTGTTACCTATTGGACAATACTCATCTCATTCTGAGCCTATTATTTATGAATAAACTGATTCCAAGCTCTGAACTCTCTCTAGTCTGCTTCTCTTTATCGTATCAACATGTGCATTGTAGGATATTTGTCAACATCCCCGGCCACTACCCATTTCATGCCAATAGCACCCATCTCCACAGTTGCAACAACCAAAAATGTCTCCAGACTTTGCCAAATGTCCCCTAGGGATCAAAATTGCCCTGGCTGAGATCCACTGCTGCAGACCTACCATGACTTGCCTAACGATTCCTCAGCCCCAAGCCAGTCCCAGTTATGCCACACGGTCCAGCTTTAGAAGTGTCACTTTCTGAGCAGTCCACGCTTTTCCTTGGGAGTAATTATGCTGGGATAGAAAGAACACATAGGATTGAGCAGATTTAGATTTGAATTCTGGTTTTGCCACTCACTTAGACAATATTTTAATTTCTCTGACCCATTTCCTCAATTGTAAATGGGAATGACAATGCCTATGTTCAAGGTTAAGTATTAAAGAAACAGGCTGTGAAAAAGCATGACTCAATGCCTGGCACCCAAGAAAAGCATAGTAATGTTAACTCCTTCCTGCTTGGATCCTTCAAACCTTGAACCTTCCCAGTAATCATGGTACCAAAACTTCTAGAAAAGAAGAAATAAGGTGGTACTGGAGTATAGATCTTGAAGATTCGGGGTTGGAAGAGCTGGTCTATCTTGGAGAAGTTTATGACCAAGCTTTGTCTGGAAATCTCCGGCCTCTGCAGAGAACAGAGTCTACCTGAGTTCCAGCTATCGCTGAGGCTAAACCAAGAGAAGGACAACAAATAGCTAGGATCCAACTGGGAGCAGGTAAGATTCAGGCTCTGGGGCCGGGGCCGGGAAAATGAAATGTGGGTGAGTTTGTCAGGAGGTCAGGCATCGAGGGACTCCCCACAAGTTATAAAGATCTGATTTCTCCAGGAAATCTTTACATAACAGAAGTTTCTTCCTTTTGGAAGCCTGTGGCAGTGTTAGAACTTCAAAACATGTTGAAAACAGGACTACCAATTATCTTCCATAGAAGAATATCTAGAAAAACTTTACCACACATGGCAAGGCAATGTGATCTCAAAACCACAATTTAGAAAAAGGATTAATTTTCAGTTCAAACTTCCCAATTCTTAAAATTTTATTTTGCCCACAGTGCTATATTAACTGTTAGACAATGTCCATCTCATTCTGAACCTATTATGTATGAATGAACTGATTCCAAGCTCCGAACTATCTCTCTTCTACTTCTCTCTAGAGTATCAATTAAAAACACGTGAATAATGGAAAATAGAAATCAATAATTTAAGTTAAAAATTTTTATTTGCACTCCCTTCTTGTTGCTTTTAAATTATAGCATTCTATTTCAATAGAATTAAAATGCTATGTCCTTGAAGATATCTGTAGCAGCTTTGTCTATAATAGTACCACCACCATCACCAACACCACCACCAGTAACGAAAACCTGGAAACAACCTAAATGTCTGTTATGGCTTGAATTGCATCCTGCCAAAAAAGATATGTTGAAGTCCTAACCCCCAGTACCTCAGAATGTGACTTTATTTAGAAAGAGGGTCTTTGCAAATGTGGTCAAGTTAGGATGAGGGCTTCAGGGCAGGCCTTAATCCAATATGATTGCTTTCTTTATAAAAAGGGGAAATTTGGACCCAGACACAGATATACATAGAATGAAGACTACGTGAAGAGACACAGAGAGAACCGCATGTGAAGAGGAAGTATTAGAATGATGTCTACAAGCCAAAGAATGCCAAAGATTGCTGGGAAATCACTGGAAGCTAGGAAGAGATGAAGAAGGTTTCCCCGACAGGTTTCAGAGGGCGTGTGGCCCTGCTGACACCGTGATTTTGCACTTCTAGTCTCCAGAACTGTGAGATAATAAATGTCTGTTTTTTAAGCCATGCAGTTTGTGGTACTTTGTTATGACAGCCCTAAGAAATAAATACAATGTCCAACAAGAGAGACACACTTACTTAAATTATGCTACATCAAACTCATGAAATAGTTTTTTTTTTAAAGATCTGGAGTCTCAAATTTTTTTTCCTTTTTCTTTTTTGAGGAAGATTGGCCCTGAGCTAACATCTGTTGCCAATCCTCCTCTTTTTGCCTGAGGAAGATTGTTGCTGAGCTAACAGCTGTGCCAGTCTTCCTCTATTTCATACGTGGGATGCCACCACAGTGTGGCCTGTGGGCGGTGTATGGGTCTGCGCCCAGGATCCGAACCCGTGAACTCAAGGCCCCTGAAGCAGAATGTGCGCTTAACCACTACACCATGGGGTGGCCCCATGAAATAGTTAGAACCACTAAAAATGATCATTTAAAATGATTTTATATATTTATTATAATATAAACAATAAATAGGATAGAGGATGAAATAGATTATAAATGGTATTACACTGAATGTAATGATATAGAATATCTGTTACTTGGATGATACATTGCAAATATTAAATCCATGAATTTGTATGTCCCACCGTAAATCACGTCTACTTACAATCTTTTTTTTAAGGAAGATTAGCCCTGAGCTAACTGCTACCAATCCTCCTCTTTTGCTGAGGAAGACTGGCCCTGAGCTAACATCCATGCCCATCTTCCTCTACTTTATATGTGGAATGCCTGCCACAGCATGACAAGCGGTGCCATGTCCACACTGGGATCGGAACTGGCGAACGCGGGGCTGCCAAAGCGGAACGTGCGCACTTAACTGCTGTGCCACCGGGCCGGCCCCTATTTACAATCTTTTACTTCTTGGGCTAACCCCACAGGGTGATTGCTCCAGAGAAGAGACGTTTCTAAGTAGTGTAGATGGGGTGGTGTAGTCAGAACAAAGAGGCTGTGGATTAATTTCTAGCCTCAGAACCACTTTTCTTTTTTCTTTAGTGAGACGCTGGTCTTGAAAGCCAGACTAGGTTGAGGGAGAGGGGAGCATTTAAATAACAAAATGCTTTTGTTAAGACATCAAAGGTGAGGCCTTGCCAAGCAGCCCATCATGTGTTTCTTTGAGGAAGTTTCCCACCCCACAAGTTGCGGGGAAGCTTGTTGGATAGGTGGGGAGGAAGGCTGAAGACAGGAGGGCTTTGGCCCCACCTCAAAGTTAGACTCTAGCAGCAAGTTGGCCTACACCAAACCAGAGGCAGCCACAACAAATAAACTCCAGAGGACAGCATGCGTAGTGAAAGAAAGGCTTTCCCGGCTCACCCCAGAGTCTGCATGGTTTGGAGAGGTCCCAGAAGTTCTTGCGCGCCCCTCAGCGTAGACACAGACAGTATCAGCTGAGAACTAGCCGGGGGCCCACCGGGGTGGGAAGCTAAATGGGAGAACTGGTCCAGGAGCCAGATGTAGCATGAAGCACAGGCTCAAAGCGCCTGCAGCGCCATGTGTCAAGGTAAGGGATGCCAAGTTCCTAGGGGACACCTCCTCTGTCCACACAGATTGCAGGTTATACGAGCAACAGGCCTCAACCTCAGCTGCCAGCCAGCCCTCCCCTGTGGGACCAGCGCCACCCTGGTGGTCATCCTCCCAGGAAGCCAACAGACCAGCAATTTTACAACAGGGACAAATAAGGATCCCAAGGGAATCACCAAAGGTTCAAGGAGCCCCATCTCCGTCCACCTCATCGCTCATAAACCCAGATCCTCCTCAGAGGAGGAGGGTAGGGGCAGGCCCAAGGGGAGTCCATTTTATCTAAAACATCCGAGCGTTTATAAAGATTGTTTCAGTGATTGCCTCAGACTAAATTTACTAATTAGCAAAAACCTAGTTTTTAACGCTTTTTTCTACTACAAAGACACAAATGAGGATTCATGAGGAAGACCAAATTGATCTTATATCTTAAAAAGTTATATTTTTTTGCACATCTGAATCTATTGTGAGAAAACTTGTGACCTACTACATGTGTATGTAGACAAAGATTAAAAGGAAATATCCAAAATGAAAATAATTTATTTTCTACATGTTCTCAAAAAAGAACATCTTGCCCAGCCCCTGTCTCTGAAGAAGGTTCCACAGCTCTTGCATAATAGCGTATTTACAAGAAGACTGTCTACACTTTTGGAAAGCAAACATCTTTCCAGCCAAGGCCTGGTTCTCAGATACAGGCTTCAATAAAGTTAAGGATGTAACTTTCCTTTTTCAGTCCTCAATCCATCCAGCTTTTTGGAATGACTGAGAATAAAAAAATGGAGAGAGAAATAGAAATGGCTCAGAAAAATCTTCACAACATCATTCATTCCCATTCACCTGCTGATAATCCGCAGCTGTCACCTGTGGACAGCAGCCTTTCTCAGCTACCCAGAGCCAAACATGCTCCAAAGAGCCAGAAGAGCTGCCCCACATCTGTGGCCACTTTTCCCTTCCCACACTTTTCACAGCTCAAGTGGTCTCTCCCAAAAGTAATTCAAACTTAATGTGAAAGAAGTGTCGGCATGGATTTGTTTCCTCACTTGTCCCTTATTTAAAAGGAAGGCCAGCTGTCCCATGCAGGTTGCCTGAGAACAGGGTCAGTCTCGTGACTGGAAGTGTCTGAGACGTGTGTTTTGAAGGATGCGATGACAGGGTGGCGGTCCTCCAGGGCAACGCCTTCTCTCTCTGTGCATCAGGTGCCAGGAATCCGAGCATCACGGACTCATTCCTTTGGTCTTCAAGATGCCTGTGCTTTCAACAATTACCTCTTAAAATGCTTCCACTGACTGACAGAAGCAATACCTTCAACATTCATCAGCTACCACTCACCCAGGATTGATCAACCTGCGGTGTGCAAGACCCAAGAGGACAGGAGCCAGGTAAGTACCAGAAGGAAAGAGGAATGACCCAAGAGATGGGGAAGACCAGGAAAGAGAAATCTGGGGAAGATTCCTTCACTCTCAGGAAGTAATTCCAGGAAAAATAGCTAACCATCTTAAAGGGCATCGCTGGGGTTGGCCCTCTCATACCGTACCTCGTTTGCTTTTCATAGCAATCCCTTGAGGAAAGGATTATCATTGCCAGTTTACAGATGGTTAAAATGAGGCTCAGAGAGTTTAAGTGATTTGCTCAAGGTTACACAAGTTGTGGAACTGTGAGTTGGAATTCAAGCCTGCTGATTCCAAAACCCACACTCTTTCCTCTATTTTCCGTTGTGTGTGCAGGTAGAGGATAATTTGAAGGTACTTGTTAAAAGCACTAAAAAATAATAACTCTGGCTCTTCTACTTTTTGAATTTTAGTAAGTTATCTTAAGAAATAAATCATAGAGGGACCGGCCCGGTGGCACAGTGGTTAAGTGCTCACGTTCCGCTTGGTGGCCCTGGGGTTCGCTGGTTCGGATCCCGGGTGCGGACACGGCACCGCTTAGCAAGCCATGCTGTGGCAGGCGTCACACATATAAAGTAGAGGAAGATGGGCACGGATGTTAGCTCAGGGCCAGTCTTCCTCAGCAAAAAGAGGAGGATTGGCAGCAGATGTTAGCTCAGGGCTAACCTTCCTCAAAAATAAATAAAAATAAAAAATTATTTAAAAAAATTTTTAAAAATAGAAAGAAATCATAGATATGTCCAGAGATTTAGCCAGAAGGTTTAGCTAGAAGGCAAAGTAATCTAGTATTCAACACTGGGGGAAGAGTTTAAAAACAGTATGTTATTTCTAAACAATAAAAATGCTATGAAACCATTAAAATGATGCAGAAGGAAATAGAATGAACCTAAAGAGTTCACAGCTATGCTGCCAAGTTTGTCTGTTTATTTGTTTGTTTTAAGCATGTGTTTTGGTTACTATTGCTATATAGCAAAGTACCCCAATTTTTCCATTTTTGTTTTTCTCAAAAAGTTGTAGGTCAGGAATTTAAGACGGGCTCAGCAGGACAGTTCTTGCTTGGGGGTCTCTCTAGAGATGGTAGTAGGATAAAAGCTCACTCATCTGGAGGCTGACCTAGACTGGGCATCTGAGATGGCTGGCGGCTGGGACATGAGCGTGGGCTGTTGGCTGCAAGGCCTATGCGCGGCCTCTTCATATGGCCTGGGCTCCCTTACAGCAGGAGGGCTTCGGGCAGTTGAACTTCTTGCACCATAGCTTAGGGTTTCAGCACAAGTGTTAGGAAGAGCAAGGCAGAAGCACAATCACCTTTTCTGTCCAAGCCTTGGAAGTCACACAGAGTCACTTTAGCCACATTCTGTTGGTTACAAATGAGTCAGAAGCCTGCTCAGGTACAAGGCAAGAGAACAATAAAAAGGAGTGTCAAAAAGTTTAAAACCATTTTTTAAGCTGCCACAGCATGTTATTAAAGAGTTTATCTAATATAGTTGCATTTTTGTTAAGTTGACATGTGGCTAGCAAAAAGACTATAAATACGTAAATAAAATATTAAGAGTAATTCTCTCTGGAATTTGGATGAGTTTTATTTTATTATCTTTTTTTGCCTGAATTTTTTATACTGGATCTCTATAAATTTTGTGATCAGAAACAAATCAAGTAAAAATATTTCATTTTTCACATTTGCAGTGAACACTGAAATAATATTTTATTTCCATATTCTTCACTAGCTAGGAACTTTCCCCCACATATCCATCTTTCAAAATCACCACAGAGCAATCTATCACACACAAAACCCTCGGTACAAATTACACATGAATTGATACTTGTTTTCTATCACATTCATGTCAATAAATCTCTCAGTCTTATACCACCAGTTACCTGCCATGTCTAGCAATCCATAATGAGCCTGGGAACACAATCAGTGTAGGATGCCATCAAGGAAGTGATCATGGCCGTGGCCTTCTAATGCAACACCTTCAGGAACAGTCACACAGGCCCCAGCCACATTCTCCTGAATATGGCAATTTTGGGGGCAGCTGGCAGTATTTTTTTTCTCACGGAAAGCAATAATAGATCACAGATCAATCAGTAACATAGGATTTTGAGAATGTTACTCTGGAAAGAAAAAAAGACAAAATCAGCTCAATTGGCTAAGTCCACCAAAAATGATAGATACTGTGTATCAATCAAACGGGTAGACCATGACTGGGACAATCCATTCATTTAGGCTACCTTCAATGCCAATACTAATTTCCCACAGACAGAATGAACAGATGTCTTTCACTTAGTGTGTGGAGGTATGTCCTAGACCAAAATATTCGCAAAAGTCTCAGAGGCTGGACCATATTAACGACCCTCTCTTTTTTTTCCCCTCCTTCCCTGAAAACACTATTAAAAAACTAGGGTCACCAGCTGTTGCATGCCATCAAGAACTAAAGAATTTATGGCAAGAGTCCTATTTAATTACAGCTCATGAAACTGATCCTATGGTATTGCAGACCTTATATATAAATATTATTTATATCCCAAACTTTCAGGAAAGCAAGGTCTATTTCCCAACCTTGCCAAAGGTCAGGGATCTGCCCCCGATGTTAAACATAAAAGGTGTTGTATAACATAGCTAAACAGATTACAGGCCGGTTTGCAGACATGGTTTTCTTCTCCACACAACGAGAGCTCTCCTTCTCTGACAAGGGATAAAGCGCGCCATTCAATACACACCCCCTCGTAGCCAAGACTGCCTGTCTGAAGAGTGTGCACTTAATCCAGAGGGCCATGGGGAGCCACTGAGGGCTTACCAAGAAAGGACTGAAGTGATCTAAACTATACCTTAGGGGGATTAAAGCTGAAATTAGTAAAATAGAAAACAAAACTACATAAATTTGAAAACTAGTTCTCTGAAAAGGCTAACAGGTAAACTCTTCCCAAGCTTGATTAAGGGGAAAAAAGAGCAAAACCGTAAAATTAGGAATGTGAAAAAAAGGACATAATCACAAGTTCTAGAAAGGCTAAAAGGACTATAATAGAATATTACCTAAAACTTACAATGACATGTTTGAAAACCTAAAGAAAATGGATGATTTCCTGAAAAAACACAATTTTTCTTGGTTGATCCACAAAGTAGTAAATGTGAATAGACCGTGTACACAGAGAGGTAATGACAGGCCACCTACTGATGAATCCAAGAGATATTTTGGGATTGGAGATTGTTTGTAAGGAATGAAAAAGTGATGATTGAAGGTAATTCTTACCAACCTGGCTTAATTGAGTGAAAAAATTGACTTCATGCAGCACAGGGAAACCAGAAGGAGGAGCTGAATTAAGGGGAAAGATAATGAATCACCTTGGAAACATCATAAGGTATAGACAAGTGGCGATGTACATCCAAGTGGCATAATATAATGGCCACCAAGTATGTACACCCACAGACTAATCAGGACAATGCACTGGTATGCAAGAAGAAAAGAGATTGTATTTATTTTTATTTCATCTTTTCTTAACTTCTACATGTCTGTGTCATTTCATAATATGTAAAATACACTAGTACTATAGTACAAATACGCTGTGTATATATAGCAGGGTGAATGCTCAAAAGTTCTTTTTAGTAATTTGGATGAGTAATCGAAAACATTTAGAGGTATATCCATACAGGAGAATATTACTCAGCAACAAAAAGTCTGGAAAACAAACAGTCCTAATTGGAGCACATTGGAAGGCTTGTTTTCTTCAAGAAGATGTAATTTACACTTAATGTGTTTGAACACATTGAAAGGAAATTTGTGCAATTTCAGGAAAGTTTGTTTTGAACTCAGTGATAAGTACAAAGATATTAAATAGCAACAATAATTTTTTAAAAAACAAACAATTATACACTCTAAGGAAAACAAAATATTGGACAAGATGGAAAAGTTATTAAATTACACTACATGGTTCAATGCGTGAATAACATTTACAAGGTCACAACTATTTAAACACAATGCAGATGTTGACATAAATAAAACTGCTGCCCAGCTATATTGAATGGATGAGGACATAGGATGAGTGACATAGGAAGGGTGTGTGTAACATGGGAGGAAGGTGGAAGGGTTACAGCTTCATCTTCCAAGTGAGAAGTCAATATGATAGATAACGTCTGACATTGACAAATAAAAGTAGTATCTGTCAATGTAAGTATGAAATAAGAAGGTAAATTCAAGAAGAAGGAAACATTATGCTTGCCCTCAAGGAGAGCAGAGACTCAAGGGAGAGAGAGAGAGATGTGCAAAAATTATTTACCATACATTTGGGACCCAGAGGACAGAGAAACTAATTCTGCCCAAGGACCTGAGGAAAGACTTCACACAGAAAGTGCAACAGATAACAGGGAAACCCCCATGATCCATTCTCTCCATCTTTTCATCACTCCTTCCACCCTAATGCCACTTTGGGTTTTAACTGAGCACTAGGTCACTAGAGATGCTATTTCCAGCCTCCCTTCCTGCTAATTAGGACCATGTTACTAAATTCTGAAGGGAACAGATGTGATGTTTGCAATTTTGGGGTTATATCCTTAAAAAGAAGGCCCTTGCTCTCTATTTCCTATTTTAGCCCTTCCCATGGGCTGAGATGCAGGTCTTAGTCGCCTATTTAGACGATGTGGACAAGGACAAAACCCCAGGGGATGGCAGAGCAACAAAGCAGAAGGCACCTGGGCCCTGGATGACCCAATGGAACAGTGCAGCTTACCCCAAGCTGTCCACCAGCTCAATTTAATGTGAAATAGAAATAAACTTTCCCCCATGTTTCAATCACTATTAAATTACCTCAGTTAAAGCATCCAAACTAATATCGTAAGTAACATGGAGAACTCAGTCTGGAAGGAGTTCATGGACAAGGTACAAAAGAGAGAGGCATGGGGGCCAGTAACAATGAATGTGGGGGTGGAGTGGGGATGCCAGAGGAGGCTGAGTGGGAAGTTGGAACTCAATGGTGAAGTTATGTTAAGGAGTTTTCACTTTATCTTATAAGAAATTGAGAGTTAATCAAAGGTTCCTTCATATCAATAGTGCAAGCTCTGTCACTAAAATGATGAAGTAATTATCATAAAAATAATCTATAATTTAATTCATGCATTTTTCAAACTACATACAAATAAATTTCATGCGAACTATATATAACAGATCGTATACGATACTTGCTATCTTTAAGAACGTCCTGGTTGGAACTAGTAACTTTTCTACTATATCCAAACTGGTCTTCCTCCATTCAAAATTATCAATTCAGAGTCTTGGGAAATAATTTCTTATTTCATAGATAAAATAGTCATTTATAGTGATAAATTTATCTTCTCAGTATTAAGAAACTTCCTATGAAAATACTCTTACCTTATTAAGCAATATTTCTAAATAGTCTATGACGCTGAAAGAAAATTCAACTAAGATTAATAAATTGACAAGAAAGAAATAAATATTTAACAACTCCTGGTGGAAACACTAGCTGGATATCAGTATGGAAAATGAAAGTAAATCCACTTTACCTAAGATAAAACAATATAAAAGTAAAAATAAAAAGATGACAATTCTCATCCCAAAGTGGTACAAAGGAACTTTATAAGCAATTGAAAAACACTATTGACAAGGTGGATGAGATCAACCAAAAGACAAATGAAAAATGTATCCTAAATAAGAAGAAGACAAAAGAAGAAGAGATGGAATAAATAAAGTTGTTTGCATTACATGTGAATAAAGTGTTTAATATTTTTTTTAAAGTGCATGAAAATCCATAACACTTTCTACTTTTTACTAGGCAAATTTACAAAATGAGAATGGATGGAAAGGTACATATAAAAGTCAACAATTAGAAAAATATTCAGATTTCCTAATATTAAAAATGCAAATTGAAAAAACTGTAAGCTAGTTCATGCTATTATAATTGTAAATTTTTTGAAATTGCATGTTTCTTCATACCAGTAGCACTGTATATTAGTAGTCTTTTTAAAGAGCTATTTAGAAGAATACACAAGAGCTCTATAATCAATCTCTTTTGTGTGTATACTAACTCACATTGAGTAGCATATGCCCTAAGAAAATATTTAAAAGAAAAAAAAGCTATTTGTACAAAGATGTTTGTAGCAATTCCATTTATATCTTAAAAAAAACCACCAAAAGTTGCGAAATGGATAAGTAAATTTTAGTGTATTCCTATTGCTATAATAAATTGTTATATAACCATTAAATAATACTAATATATGTAAAATTGTATGCAAAAAATGTTTGAGTGAGACCCAAAAATGTTAAGTAGAACATAAATTATTATTTACTGATTACATTTATGTAAAAATTTAGGTCTCTACATTGAAAAGTATCAGAAGACACACACAAAGGTAATCAACTGGAGTTTAACATCAAATGATTATTTTTTTCTGTAAAATGTTGAAGTGTGAAATAAAAAGTAAAAGATTAATTAGTAAAGTTAAAAATAAAATACTCCTACCAGCTTGTAATCACCTCAAACCCCAGAGTAATAATTGTAATAAGTTCTGTTTACTGTCTAACATGTGCCAGCAATTTTTTTTTTTTTATTAAAGATTTTTATTTTTTCCTTTTTCTCCCCAAAGCCCCCCGGTACATAGTTGTGTATTCTTCGTTGTGGGTTCTTCTAGCTGTGGCATGTGGGATGCTGCCTCAGCGTGGTCTGATGAGCAGTGCCATGTCCGCGCCCAAGATTCGAACCAACGAAACACTGGGCCGCCTGCAGCGGAGCGCGCGAACTTAACCACTCGGCCACGGGGCCAGCCCCCACGTGCCAGCAATTTTGCTTAGCTCTTTAAATACGGGATCTTGTTTAAGCATCAGAGCACCCTTGCAAGCTGGAAGTTAACTTCCCCATTTTACAGATGATAAATTGAGGCTCAGAGACATTAAATAATTTACCAAATATCGCACAACTAGTACTTGGTAGGGCCTAAATTAGAATCTAGTTCTGCCTCCAAAGATTTTAGTGAAAAAAACTTTCTTTCATGAGGATCAAAATAAGCCATGCTCATTGGGAAAGATATGGAAAGATACAAATAGTATTTAGGCGGAAAAAATCTGTAATTCCACCATCCAGAGACAATCACTGAATATTTTAACGTA